GTTGGGAACGTTCTCCTGGTGTGTGTGGGGACTAACACGGAGTGTGTGAAGAGCAACGTGGAAGGTGTGAAGAATAACATGGGGAGCATGTGTAAAGAGTAACGCATGTGTAAAGAGTGACATGGAGTGTATGGGTGAGTGAGTGAGTTTAGTTTTACACCGCTTTTAGCAATATTCCAGCAGTATCACGGCGGGAGACACCAGGAATGAACTTTAAACATTGGGGTGTATGAAGAGTAACATTGAGCGTGTGAGGAGTAACATGGAGTGTAAGAAGAATAACATGGGGAGTATGTGTAGAGAGTAACATGTGTGTGTGAAGAGTAACATGTGTGAAGAGTAACATGTGTGTGTGAAGAGTAACATGTGTGAAGAGTAACATGGAGTGTCACTGTGTGTGAGGAGTAACATGTGTGAAGAGTAATATGGAGTGTCACTGTGTGTGAAAGAGTAATATGGGGAGTCACTGTGTGAGGAGTAACATGTGTGAAGAGTAACATGGAGTGTCACTGTGTGTGAAGAGTAACATGGAGTAATGTGTGTGAAGAGTAATATGTGTGAAGAGTAACATGGAGCGTCACTGTGTGTGAGGAGTAACATGTGAAGAGTAATATGGAGTGTCACTGTGTGTGAAGAGTAATATGGAGAGTCACTGTGTGTGAGGAGTAACATGTGTGAAGAGTAACATGGAGGGTCACTGTGTGTGAAGAGTAACATGGAGTGTCAATGTGTGTGAAGAGTAATATGTGTGAAGAGTAACATTGAGCGTCTGTGTGAAGAGTAACATGGAGTGTCACTGTGTGTGAAGAGTAACATGGAGCGTCAATGTGTGTGAAGAGTAATATGTGTGAAGAGTAACATTGAGCGTCTGTGTGAAGAGTAACATGGAGTGTCACTGTGTGTAAAGAGTAACATGGAGTGTCAATGTGTGTGAAGAGTGACATGTATGAAAAGTAACATTGAGTGTCACTGTGTGGAGAGTAACATGTGTGAAGAGTAATATGGAGAGTCACTGTGTGTGAAGAGTAATATGGAGTGTCACTGTGTGTGAAGAGTGACGTGTGAAGAGTAACATGGAGGTGAGGTGAGGTGAAATTGGGTTTTACGTCGTGCTTGTGAATATTTCGCTCATATGACGACGTGCATGCGTGTGTATGTGTATGTGCGGCTGCTTGTACTAGCCCAGACTTAAGCTGGTTTTATAGTGCTAGCCCACTGAGATACCATGTCGCAGTGAAGCATGAATACCCCACTCAGACACATTATACTGACTCCGAGCCGACCAGTCCTTGTTGTACCCATTAATGTCGAGCGGCAGGCAGGGACCAACAAGTACCATATTTTAACGTCTTTTGTTATGACGCGGTCGGGGATCGAACCCGCGACCTTCCGCTCTCCGGGCAGACGCTCTAACCACTACACCAGGGAGGCGGTTGAGTAACATGGAGCGTCTGTGTGTAAGAGTAACACTGAGTGTGTGAAAAGTAACATGGGGAGCATGTGTAAAGAGTAACATCACCTGTGTGAAGAGTAACATCACCTGTGTGAAGAGTAACATGGAGTGTGCAGAGTAACATCACCTGTGTGTAGAGTAACATCACCTGTGTGAAGAGTAACATCACCTGTGAAGAGTAACATGGAGTATGTGAAGAGTAACATCACCTGTGTGAAGAGTAACATGGAGTGTGAAGAGTAACATGGAGTATGTGAAGAGTAACATCACCTGTGTGAAGAGTAACATGGAGTATGTGAAGAGTAACATGGAATGTGTGAAGAGTAACATGGAGTGTGTGCAGAGTAACATGGAGCGTGTGCAGAGTAACATGGAGTGTGTGCAGAGTAACATCACCTGTGTAAAGAGTAACATGGAGTGTGTGCAGACTAACATGGGGCGTGTGCAGAGTAACATCACCTGTGTGAAGAGTAACATGGAGTGTGTGAAGAGTAACATGGAGTGTGTGCAGAGTAACATGGAGTGTGTGCAGAGTAACATCACCTGTGTGAAGAGTAACATGGAGTGTGTGCAGACTAACATCACCTGTGTGAAGAGTAACATGGAGCGTGTGCAGAGTAACATGGAGTGTGTGCAGAAGTAACATGGGTGTGTGCAGAGTAACATCACCTGTGTGAAGAGTAACATGGATTGTGTGCAGACTGCAGACTAACATCACCTGTGTGAAGAGTAACATGGAGTGTGTGCAGAGTAACATGGAGTGTGTGCAGAGTAACATGGAGTGTGTGCAGAGTAACATCACCTGTGTGAAGAGTAACATGGAGTGTGTGCAGAGTAACATCACCTGTGTGAAGAGTAACATGGAGTGTGTGCAGAGTAACATGGAGCGTGTGCAGAGTAACATGGAGTGTGTGCAGACTAACATGGAGTGTGTGCAGTGTAACATGGAGTGTGTGCAGAGTAACATGGAGTGTGTGCAGACTAACATCACCTGTGTGAAGAGTAACATTGAGTGTGTGCAGAGTAACATGGAGTGTGTGCAGACTAACATCACCTGTGTGAAGAGTAACATGGAGTGTGTGCAGAGTAACATCACCTGTGTGCATACTAACATCACCTGTGTGAAGAGTAACATGGAGTATGTGAAGAGTAACATGGAGTGTGTGCAGAGTAACATCACCTGTGTGAAGAGTAACATGGAGCGTGTGCAGACTAACATCACCTGTGTGAAGAGTAACATGGAGTGTGTGCAGAGTAACATCACCTGTGTGAAGAGTAACATGGAGTGTGTGCAGAGTAACATCACCTGTGTGAAGAGTAACATGGAGTGTGTGCAGACTAACATCACCTGTGTGAAGAGTAACATGGAGTGTGTGCAGAGTAACATCACCTGTGTGCAGACTAACATCACCTGTGTGAAGAGTAACATGGAGTGTGTGCAGAGTAACATCACCTGTGTGAAGAGTAACATGGAGTGTGTTCAGAGTAACATCACCTGTGTGAAGAGTAACATGGAGCGTGTGCAGAGTAACATCACCTGTGTGAAGACTAACATCACATGTGTGAAGAGGAGTAACATGGAGTGTGTGCATGGAGTAGCATCACCTGTGTGAAGAGTAACATGGAGCGTGTGCAGACTAACATCACCTGTGTGAAGAGTAACATGGGTGTGTGTGCAGACTAACATCACCTGTGTGAAGAGTAACATGGAGTGTGTGCAGACTAACATCACCTGTGTGAAGAGTAACATGGATTGTGTGCAGAGTAACATCACCTGTGTGAAGAGTAACATCACCTGTGTGAAGAAGTGTGAGTGTGTGTAACATATGAGTGTGTGCAGACTAACATCACCCATGTCAAGAGTAACATGGAGTGTGTGCAGAGTAACATGGAGTGTGTGCAGAGTAACATCACCTGTGTGAAGAGTAACATGGAGTGTGTGCAGAGTAACATCACCTGTGTGAAGAGTAACATGGAGTGTGTGCAGAGTAACATCACCTGTGTGAAGAGTAACATGGAGTGTGTGCAGAGTAGCATCACCTGTGTGAAGAGTAACATGGAGTGTGTGCAGAGTAACATCACCTGTGTGAAGAGTAACATGGAGTGTGTGAAGAGTAACATGGAGTGTGTGCAGAGTAACATCACCTGTGTGAAGAGTAACATGGAGAGTAACATGTGTGAGCAGAGTAACATGGAAGTAACATGTGTGAAGAGTAACATGGAGTGTGTTCAGAGTAACATCACCTGTGTGAAGAGTAACATGGGCGTGTGCAGACTAACATCACCTGTGAGAACATGAGTGTGTGCAGAGAGTGTGCAGACTAACATCACCTGTGTGAAGAGTAACATGGAGTGTGTGCAGAGTAACATCACCTGTGCAGACTAACATCACCTGTGTGAAGAGTAACATGGAGTGTGTGCAGAGTAACATCACCTGTGTGAAGAGTAACATGGAGTGTGTGCAGAGTAACATCACCTGTGTGAAGAGTAACATGGAGTGTGTGCAGAGTAACATCACCTGTGTGAAGAGTAACATCACCTGTGTGAAGAGTAACATCAGAGTAACATCACCTGTGTGAAGAGTAACATGGAGTGTGTGCAGAGTAACATCACCTGTGTGAAGAGTAACATGGAGCGTGTGCAGAGTAACATCACCTGTGTGAAGAGTAACATGGAGTGTGTGCAGAGTAACATCACCTGTGTGAAGAGTAACATGGAGTGTGTGAAGAGTAACATCACCTGTGAAGAGTAACATGGAGTGTGTGCAGAGTAACATCACCTGTGTGAAGAGTAACATGGAGTGTGTGCAGACTAACATCACCTGTGTGAAGAGTAACATGGAGTGTGTGCAGAGTAACATCACCTGTGTGCAGACTAATATCACCTGTGTGAAGAGTAACATGGAGTGTGTGCAGAGTAGCATCACCTGTGTGAAGAGTAACATGGAGTGTGTGCAGAGTAACATCACCTGTGTGAAGAGTAACATGGAGTGTGTGAAAAGTAACATGGAGTGTGTGCAGAGTAACATGGAGTTTGAGAAGAGTAACATGCCTTTCCTGTATCAAATTTGATAATGGAAGAAGATAATTGCATACAATTCGTTTGTTTCCAGCAATCAAATTGCACCATTTTATCTCTGCAGTGTAACTATTTTAAGGACGAAACATACATATTTCACATTTTATCTCATTGATAACCCCTCTTCAAGCATCTACATGGTGAATGAGTGGGTGGGTGGGTAGGTGGGTGCATCTACATATCTACATGGCGAGTGAGTGAGTGAGTGAGTGAGTGAGTGAGTGAGTGAGTGAGTGAGTGAGTGAGTGAGTGAGTGAGTGAGTGAGTGAGTGAGTGAGTGAGTGAGTGAGTGAGTGAGTGAGTGAGTGAGTGAGTGAGGAAGCGAGTGACGACCAATCTTTCAGCTATTTTTCAGCCAGGTCATAGCAGCTCGCACAGTTAGAATTCCAAGTAGAGTCACAACCTTTTGCCCTCAGGCAAATACAAAACATGTAAACACAACATTGCAAATAAAGCACAAAGTCTAAGATCAATTTGATGTATTTTAATGCATCCTGAGAGGACATCGCCATAAACCACAATGTTACGAATTAAATCATATCAATGATACAGTTGATGCTGAGACAACCAGATCTTTACAATCTCTTTACACGTAAAACAAGATTCTGACAGCTTCATTACAATCAATAGTCAAGCTATTCCATTATTTGAAAGTTCTCTCAAGTCTGATATCCACAGGGTAATGTCCCATAAAAAGGGGAGACAACTCACTCCTACAAAGACATCCCATACAGGGCCAAACTAATCCATAACAACACTAAGTTAATACCCCGCAACAGATGTCTAACAGGAGCTTTGATCGGAGAAGGCAAAACTAATCAATAACTTTGTGAAAAGCGACAGATACTTAAGACTAGAGAGACATATGGGCAGAGATAACTGCCCAGTTTACAAACAGCATATCTGACTCACTTCGTTTTACATCTTATTCAATATTCCATGAAGCAACATGGATATTCAAAAGCTGTAAGGTCGTAAGCACTGAGACAGATGCTCCCTCAGACCCTAATTAAATATACCTATTTAGGGCCAGTTGAGGTGGACTAGATATAATGCTTATCATAAGTATTGAGACAGTTATATTCATATACAAAATCATCATTTTAAAAAATCTGGACACTATCCATTAATGCTTTTGGTGAAAAAGAAGGTGAAAACTTGAACATAATTTAAATGGATTTATTGTTTTTGTTTTCATGAAATTCCAGAACATGTTGAATCACATGTGAAAATAAATATGAAGGTGATGATATTTGAATAATTTAGTGAGACATAGTGAGGCAAAAAACAAAAAAGCAACAAAATAATAAATCTTGAAAACGGTGCTACATGTAAATAAATGCTCCACTATTACGTCGACTCGGGACTAAGGAGGGAGACCTTGTCGACAAAGTCTAAATACTTGAATTACACACTGCAATAGCAGTTTGTGTCAGCCTTGACATTCACAATATGTTTTGAGGAAAGTAGCAGGAGCTACTCAAAATGGCAATACTGTGGTTAAACATGGAAGCCATATCATGGGGGAAAGTTGAATTCTATACAACTAACAACTATTTCTGCATACAAATATGCATGAAAATAAATAACAAACAAGCTATGCTAACAACAACCATCTAGTGTATAATACTGGACAGTTTGGAGACCCTGGTCCTGACAAAATGGCTGCTGGCAAGAATGGAAGGTTATAACTACAAAACACTATCTTCCTCAAGACATATTATGGTGGTTTTGACAAATGGTTTAATACTGTTACACGAAGGCAATGGATATAGGTCTGTCCGTCCGGACTGGTCAAATAAACAAAAAATATAAATAAAACTTCTTACACCAAATTATATGCGCTAGACGTCAGCTACAGTTAGCGATGCACATAGGGCATTTAGCCTTGCTTGTCGGGCTTATGATTAAACGTAGTATGTGCAAAGCTGAGATTCTAGTCCCTTGATGGATATTTTTTCGACACAAGTGTTACTGAAACCCCATAACAGATAATTATGACAGGACCTACTGAAATTTCTAGCAACACTGAAGCAGTATTCTTTTCTAACCATCACAGCGAGGGTGAGCACTCTGCTATAGATACACACCAAGGAAAAAACCACTTCACAATAGTTGTCAAATTTCTTAGAAAATTCATATTTTATATTCAGTAGCAGTATAAATAAATCTACATATTAAATACAGTGTAAATATAATTAGATTTCAAAAATGTCAAAATGAAAAAGGAAAAGTTTCAAAATCTATACATGTGACATATAGTTGTTAACAGCACAAGTGTAATGAGTTGTTAGGCGAGTGGGATATACAGAGTCCATTGACTAGTCATCGTTGAAAATTCAATAATATCCACTCAACTCTTACATACACTGGGTCATACCATGGGTGCTCATACACATATGTGTAATCATTAACTGCAAAGGTTGAATACACACAATCTGTGTAACAAAACACTCAAAAAGTCATTTGGTTGAGAATTTGGTCCCTCAAAGCACATCCCTGAAATCCATTTGATTGACCAGGCAGGTCAAACTACAAAAGACAAGTCAAGTCAACACGAAATGTACATCAACACCATTGTGTAACGTTTCGACATTTACACCCGAGTGTAAGTTTACACCAATATACATCTATACACCAATTGGTCCTTTTACCAGCAGCTACACAGAACGTCACAGATCGTCACAGATCACACAGTTCGGGACTATTTATGTAGAACAGGCTAGAGTTGGGGTGTAGCCACTCTGAAGCTCGTAGCTCGGCTTCGGACACACCTCAAGTCCTTCATGGTGATACCCATTGGCAATAAATGACACGGGAGACTTACTGGTTTCTTTTTCGTTATTGTTCTCAGAAAGACGAGCCGACTTATTTGGAGGCTCACTCACACTCTCATTGTCATTGTCATCTGTTGTTTCGCCTGCTTCATCATCACCATCATCCATCACAGCATCAACTGGACTACGCCGACTACTGAGATCTTCTTCAGAGAGCTTGTCTTCCCCCGTGGACACCTCCTGATAGTTTGCCTTCAGTTGCTTTCCCAATGAAGTTACGAATTTCAGAGAAGTAGGCATCATCTTTTTCTTCAAGCTCATTGGTTGGTGAGTCTACAACGTTTGGACCTTCAGACTCGTGTTTCTTCAAGTGGCGATCAAGGTTTGTCTGTTGCCCAAAGCAGCGATCACAGAGGGGACACTTAAAGGGCTTCTCCTTGTTGTGGATGTTGCGGACGTGACGTTGGAGGTTAGATGAGATGCTGAAGGATCGCTCACAGTACTTGCATTTATAGGGCTGCTCTCCCGTGTGAGTACGAAGATGGCGAGTCAGGTTGGCAGATCTCGGGAAGATCTTACCACAGAACTTGCAGGAGTAGCGTTCCTTCATTTTGTTTCCACTGGGAGAATAAGGATAAGGGTCGACAACCTTTTCCATCTTCATCATTGGAGATAGGGTCTTATCGGCATCAGATCGCATCAGGCTGAAGGGGCTCATTGCAGGGAATGCTGGTCCACCCATCGGAAAACGGGGAAACGGCATGAACTTGGCTGCATCTTGGATGGCCTGGAACTTCTCCTTGTCCATCCTCATCATCGTATCCATGACGAGGGGTGTGGGGAAAGGGTAGGGGAAGTGAGGAAACTTGACTTCTGGCATCAGAGGAGATCTCATCTCACCATATACATGAGTCTTGCGAGGAGTTTCAATTGGGCTCGTCTCCTTGGTGATCTTCTTGCTCAGATCCAGAGGCAGCTCATCTTTGGTTGGGGTTGTAAGTTCAGGCTTGGGTGATGGAGTTTTCTTTGAGAGGTCAAATGGAGCATCTTGTCTGTGGCTTGGTGGTGTAAGATTTGGCAGATCAGATCTGTGTTTGGTAAGACTCAGTGGCAGATGGGGGGACATCTTGGGATGGCAGATCTCACCAGGTTCAAGACTTGATGATGGTCTCTTATGACTGGATTCGCTTTCGGCGTCTGACACTGAGCTGACATCCAGATCGCTTCCTGTGCTCATGTCGGACATCTCGCCATCGGAACCATCACGCACCTTCATCTCACGGTGGTCATCCTTCTCCGAAGAGCTGATACTACTGCCCTCAGGTGAGAGTTTCTTCTCAGGGGTGAAGTATGCTGGTAGTTTGGCACCGGGTGAGATGGGTGATCCAAGGACACCTGGGAGATGTCCTCCTGGCTGTAGGACTGGGAACGTGGCACCAAACGCAGGGTAGTATGGAAAGGGGGGACGGGCTCCGTACAGACCCATCAGGGCAGGATTGATGGGTGTGGGCTGGCTTCCTGGTGACAAAGACATTGGTGACATCTTATCTGCTGAATAGCACACACGCATGCCGTTCCTCAGCGCCCCCTCGCAGAATCTCTTGTGCTTGCTAAGGGAGGTAACTGTTGAGAATGCTTGACCACAGTCCTTGCACTTAATCTGCTGCCGGCAATCTGCGTGCATCCGTTTATGTCTGCAGAGGTTGGAAAACTGGGTGTAGGCCTTGAGGCAGACTTCACACTGGAAAGGCTTCACGCTGCTGTGAATGTGTTGGTGCTGTTTCAGACCGCTAGACGTGGCGAAGGTCTTGCCGCACTCAGGGCAAGCGTGGCACCGGGCACCGATGTGTTGGGAACGGATATGGCGCTGTAGGTTGCTTGGGTCTGTGAAGACTTTATCACAGTTCTCACAAGGGAATCGACGTCCGATGTCGTGTGCAGCCTGGAAAGTTAAAAGGAATAATAAGCAAGGGGAATAGAAACAAAAAAACGTTGTCAGTAAGTGTTTTAAATATGAATTCAAATCTAATATCCATTATGAATACATACTATATCTTAATATTTCTAACTTAATTTTTGAAAACCCAATAAATTGGAAATTGATAAAATGTAAATAACAAATGATATTAAAGACATTCAACAAGATAATTTTCAGAAAAGTTTTCAACTAAAATGGAAGAGTGGAATAAAAGCATATACATGGTATCCTTCAAATAACAGAAGCTGAAGAATGGTATAATATTCCTAAACCTAAAAATTGTAAAATTTAAACTTCTAATTAGATGTATAAACTAACAGAAGCTGAATATGATGCCACATTCCTAAAACTTGTAAAATTCAAACTTCTGACTAGTGGTACAACTATCAGAAGCTGAAGTATGATGTTATGTTCCTAAACCTTCAAAAATCTAACTTTTAAAACTTTTAATTAATGGTACATGTATAAAAACACTTTTTCAATTGTAAAATTCAAACTTCTAATTAGTGTACAACTAACCTGATGTCTGATCAAGTTGGACTTCCACTGGAAAGACTTGGGGCACTCGTCACACTTGTATTCCCCTTCCCCTGTCTCAGTCTCTCTAGCGATATCGGAGTCAGTACTGCTGAAATCAAATCACTACAATATACAACTGCACGAAAAGAAAATCTGACATCTGTACAATCAGATCATCTAACAACTTGTTGCCATATTGGGTGCATTTGTTTTGAAATATAAAAAAACAAACAAAACTTTTTATAATTTAAATGTGATAATCAATTTCCGAAGAAAAAAAAATCAATAAAATCAGCGCTGAAAAAACATGAATACATTCACAATTTAAAAAAATAATTCAAAGTAAACATCAAAACAATACTGCAACAAGATGTAAGAAAAGACAATCATAAAAAACATCTACACAGGTAAATGAATGAAAAGGTAAATTACTTTGACACGAGCAAAGAGAGTCCCATATCCTTCTCTCGCCTATCCGTAATGTACGTCCGTTATGCTACCCCTCCAACAGACAACTGTCTTATACCCCCAGCGGTCGCTGAATGAAAGGGTCTAAGCTACCCACGATCCCTGACAATGAGAGAGAGCGTCCATGCCGGCCCAAAGCTATCCTATCGTCAACAACAAGCCAGTGTTTGAGTGATCGTATTGTCAACAGACCGGTGGTAATATCACCTTAACGCGTTTGTCGGCTGCACAGTGTGAGAGCCCTATCGTTATCAACAAACCCTAACATCCCTCTCTGCTAGCCAGCATCTCATTGGCTGCCAGCTGTCCAGTTCACCTGTCACTCAAATCTGTGATTTGTTGACAAGGGATTTAGATAATTCCTTTCATTGCTTGCTTTGCCTGGCGGAAGTCATGTTGCAAACATTTATTGGAATTTCAAAGTTTTGTGAGAAGATCTGTTGTCATCGGACAAAAAATCCTGCTTGGGGATTCTAACTCTGTGAATGCATCACTATCTTCTATTACCTTTGTTAATAAATAGATTTTCTTCATTATCAGTTTACACTTGCAATCATTTGATAAATAGCCACACTGATAACTCAGATATAGAATTCTGATTTCCCAATTTACAATCCCATACAATTATTTGTTGCTCAATGCAGTGTCCTACGCTGAATAAAGAGCTTCTGTTCGATTTAGACCCTGCCATCACAAACCAGTTGGTTTAGGAAATATAGTATGGACGGAAAACCCTCTACATTGAAAAGAAGGCAAATGTAATAATTCTGTCTTGCAAAGGAATACTGACTTTTAACAAGAATGTCGAGAAAACATATTTGGGATTTAATTCGAATCACTTGGTGATTCAATTTTGAAATTAGAAAGCCATGGTGAACATGTTTTAGTTATTGCAACTGAAGCCGATGATTATCAACATATTGTGAACAGAAATTCTAAGAATATATTTTTCATCAAAACACTCCATATCAAAACATGCACTAGATAACATTTTAAGTTTTGTAATTTTTTTAGACTTTCATGCATCTTTAGTCAAAGAATTTTTTAGCGTACATTTAACGTCATACTCAGACATAAAAATATGTCGAGAATAAATTACAGACAACACTTCTATTATTTTGTAAGTCTTACACAATAAACATTCACCAACATTTACAACCAAACCAAATACATCAAACTTCAAGATGCTTCAACAAAATATTTCCACTCAAACTCAGCATGCTGATGAAGCGAGTTAATCAACTTAACGCTTTAATCACACAAAATTCTAAATCCCACACAAAACATCATTTCTGCCCATTCTGCAGTCATTAACTTGAATACACATGCAGAAAAACGACAGACTTACGCTAAACGATTTTATGTCATGTGATCACCTGGGAACTGAGAATAAATCAAGACGAATATTACCAAAATAATTTTAAAAATAAACTTCGGAAACAAAACCTCACAAAATAATACCTATATATTGGACGAAAACATGAATTACACCTGGCCTGTAAAAATTTGACTAAAAATAAAATCAGGGTGGAATAGATTGGAGTCAAACAACTTACCTTTTACTTTCTGCCTCAATATGGTCGCCAGAGTCGCGGGTCATGGCTTGGTAAAGTGCAGCGGAACGACCACAAACATAAGTCTGATGGCGGCGTAGAGCAACTTTGGAACGGAAAACTTCACCACACTCTGGGCACGAGTATGTCCGATCTTCTGGAAAAAAAGCAGAAACTATATTAACCCAAAACTTCAAATAAATCTTAATCAAACTAGAAAAAGTATCAGTCTTCAGTAACTCAGCTTTCAGTCAATACTCAGTCCTTCGTCATTACACTAAGCAAGGAGTAAGACGGTTAATATTATAGAATTCCATATTATATCCTTTGTACATCAAATACTGTAGAACAGCTGGAAATTAATTTCAGAAAGGCAGTTGTGAATGACCAGAAATGTCTTTACACGTTAACTTCACACGAGTGATGGACATTGACTGTGTGGCGATTTCTTGTTCGAGGACAATTCTAGCGACCATATGTCACATCACTCTTGTAGAAATTAAGGCTAGGCGGTGGGCATTGATTGGCTATTGAGATAACGTGTGCCGTCTTAATGATATCAGTGGTAATGAATGTGACTTTGTGAGCTGTAAGACGAGGTGACGGATCATATTGTCACATTACCCCACCTGTCCAGGTAAATACAGGTAAATTAGTGGAAATATTCGGTAAAATGAATAAAATGCATCAAACTACAGAAAATATCAGTAATATTATACAGAGGTTAAATAAATGTCACAATGGTAAAAAAAGTGTCGGTTATTTAAAAAAACACCTACTTGGATAATGAAATTTTCTAAATTTCTAAAAGCTTTTGTCTGGCACATTTTGCTTGCATATTCAAAAGAAATGACATATCCACAACATTACCTTCTAAAAAACCTCTCATGACTCTTAAAAGGTCCCATTGAAATATTCACAACAGTATAATTGATGAAAACCTATTGTTTTCAAATTCAAGTACTTCGAGAGCCAGAATCACAATACAATATTTTCCAAATCTCTTAAAAGACTGTCTTTTAATGGATAAAGAAATCTCCAGGCTTTGACAGCTAATTGTGACGGGACAAAGAGACTGAATAACTGCATTAGCTCGGCAGGTGGACCACGGAGCACCTATAATGTTACCTTATAAACATAATGAAATTAAGGAGACCAACAAGAACCTCTAAAACCCTATCAATTAATTAAACTGTCAAAGCTTAACCATATGCTAGGATGAAGCGGCTTTTATCCCATATCATCAGCTGGCCGAATGATGTATAACTAGCGTATCCTACCCCTGCATGTTCCCAGTTCTGGTCCTCCTGTCCTGACTAGCCATTATTATCGGAAATCGTACAGCAAGAAGTGATTGAGGGAGCTGCAGATTTGTCCCTCGACATTTCCACCTGGTACACCTGGCTGGGAGACGACTGTTTTTTACCTGACAGACACCTCACGAGCTTTATCCTTATCTCTGCTCCAAACCAGTCTGGCCGACACCATAACAAGCATATAAACTTGTAATCTTGCCTATCATAAATTGAAGCTATTGCTTGCTTGAATATCATAAGCTTTTCTCCATCCGAAGCGATCTTTGTCAACATGGGGTTTTTGTGTGTCGATCAAGCGGAGAGGGGCGGGGTGGGAGGGTGGGGGGTCGGGGGCTGAAAAAGGGCCGACAGGCCATAAAACAGGAGGACCCTTGAATTGGGGATATCGTGATAAGGCAGACAAGATAATACTGATGAATGGACAATAAATAGTTGGAATTCAACAGGTGTAACAGTAAATCCATAATGGACATTTTGGATATTTTTTCAAAGTACAATAATATTTTAAAATGACATGAATATCAAAATGAAAAAATACAAGATCCCATATATTCTAAAGTAAAACCTTGATTCTGTTCTACTGAATAAAGTGGTACAAGTACCTGACTCTCTGTCCACCTCTGCAAGATTCTCAGCCAAAGACCATATATCCATTGGACAGAAAAACACACTGTTGTCACTAGTCCAGGCAAATCTCACTACTAATACAATGTTTCTATCTCTCTAAACATTTTTTTATTATTGTGAGAACCCTCGAAGCATAGGTAGCCTAAGCCCCGCCCCCTGTCAGCCAGCCCACAGATGACCAGTCCTCTGATAGGCCGGCCTGGGTAATTAGCGAGAATGTAATCAGTGTTGCCTGTCAATCATTCGCAGGTAGAAAGTCCTCGCTATATCGCGGAACAGTGATACCTGGGACGTGAGGAGGCAGGCGGGTTATTCTTGGCCAACACAATGTACTATTCAACTTGCCTAAGGGGGTAGGGCGTTATAGTGAGGTGGGAGGGGAGAGGATCAGTGGGGGTTTAATGAGGGGCGCCTTGCTGGTGTTAAGGCCTTGTTTTGATGGGCAGTAAAGGTTGAGACAGGAAGATTATGTTGCTGAGGCTGTTGACAAACCATGAATTTAAAATCATGAATTAATTCTAGCAAATTTTACCAGTTGACACTAACATCAAAAACTGAATATTAAATATCATTTTCAATTCTCTTTCCCAAAAATTCTGCAATATAAAAATATATTGCTTTTGAGTTTTTTTCTTATGGTTTTATGGTGATAATGTGTCTAACAATTATGAATTAAATTCATAACCAGCACACTCAGCGCTATAATGAGGCACTGGCAGGTGAGGGGAGTCAAAAGATGACACAATAAAAGGAAAGGTCGGAGGTGGCAAATAAACCCTAATTCATTCATTGCTGACCAATCACCCTCACTGAGAAAAATGTTACACGGTATCACGACCTCTCTCATGACCTCACACTGACCAATCAAAAAAGAATATAGATTCAGTGCACTGACAATGACCAGGGGTCATCGCAAAGAAGCATCAGTCTTTTTAAAGAATATTCCGACCCATTGTCAATCATTTCTTTATTTGCTACCACTTTCTTCACAGCGCCATCTGTTGGCTAGTGGGGCATGATCGCCAAGTCAACTTAAAACATTAAATACGTGAAAACACTTATAAAGCCTCTCGCAGAGATAATGTCCCTCTCCAAGGGGTATTCTAATTGAGCTGATGTACCGTCCAGTCCAACAATTGGAAATATTGACCAAGTCCAGCACAGCCATTGTCCAGGTATTGTCTGTGCAATCCTGCTTTTTGAATGACCCTGGGAGAAGATGAGAAGCACACTATCACCTTATCATAACGCCATGTTGATTTCATATTGGAATAGGTCATTCAACACTTCATACCGAAATTAACTCATCAGCTTAGTCCATTGTAAATATACTTAAAAATATTATTTTTTCACAGATATAAAAGGATGAAATTGTATTCATAAAAGATGTTTTTGCAGATGCACCCTTCCTGAATGCTACTGTCTTTTATTGAAAAGTAATAGGAAATATTTCTTTGATTAAAAAAAAAGGTGAACAGGCAAGAATTTAATTTGATCTTTGGCGAAATACGAACAATAGCAAATTTGAAAATAATATGAAAAGAAGGCAACAAAGCGGGGACGAGGCCGACTGGTGGGGTTTTGAAGATCGTACGTGAAGAGTGAGTGAAGAGTGACTATTGTCGTGGCGAGGCACGCGTTACTCGCTTGCCTCAGTCTGCAGCCAGGTGCCGCAGACAGCTGCTCGTGAGCTTTGTGTGGGCCCCACGCTCTGATCCCCTGACTACCTGTAACGGGGGTAATCCTCGCCAACATGTCATAATAGAGCTAATTGTTTACCTACAGGCTTGCTTCTCGGCCTAGCGTCCTAAAGGAAAGATAGGACGTCATCTGTTGCAGACTCCCTTTTGTCTCCCTGATAAAGGGCGAAGGGGGAGAGTTTTTTCAGGGTTGGGAGGAACTCATCAGCTGGAGCCTCTTGCAGTGAAAGAAATCGACACTCGTCATATCATCCTTACCAAACTGCCCAGTTAAGATGTCATGACTAGAAATTATTTAAAAGTTTTGCTTGAGATGATTATTAAAAGTGAGTGAGTGAGTGTAGTTTTACATCACTTTTAGCAGTATTCCAGCAAATATCATGGCAGGGGACACCAGAAATGGGCTTCACACATTGTACCCATGTGGGAAATTGAACCCAGGCCTTTGGCGAATGGTTTAACTACTAGGCTACCCTGATTATTATGACTAGTTGGATGACAATAGTATTTTCTGTCCCTGCAGAATGGGTCGTGATGGTAGAATGTACTCTCAGAACCAGAATTTTTTTATGCCATTTTGAACGGAATTCTGAACTAAACACAAGGCTTAAACATAAATACATCTACTTTATACCTTCATTAATGTCACACTTAAAAGCGTTGAATTCAAATTCTTGACATTTTACTCTTTAATTCACAGACCATATGTCGTTTAACCTCATTCCAAAACATCAACTTTTTGCTCCATAAAAATCTTCTTTACACTGAGTAACTGATTTATTCCGCTTCTCTTGAGAAAACATGAAAACTGAATTTCAATGAAGAGAACGGGGGATGTTTATAATATACACAGACATTAGGTGGCACACAGATCAATTATATGGCGAGTTACCCCCAGACCCAATTCACTGGTTGATACACTACATGACTAGTTCAGTAATTCACTACAAAATGACACCACCGGATCTATTTTTATCCTAGTTTCAACTGCGCTTGGGAACTTATCAAAATAGACAATGCTCCTGTACCAAGATGTGTTGGAGGCACACGAGAAAAGATACACAGTTGACCGGGGACATTGTTAGCAGACAACTCTACCCTCTGTACGTACATGATGCATCAGTTATTAGCCCTGTGTAGTCATTCCATCTGGATATAGTGACAGTTTATGTTGCCACTCAAGCGTTAATCTTGTACCCAAATCCCCTACCAGCCACCAGCTGGAAACATCTATACAGTGTACTTACAATTAGTCTTTCATCGTTTCATAAAAGTATGTAAAAATATGTAAAAGTATTTGGTGTGTACATTTTCTAACTTATAAAATGAAACACTTTTCCTGTTTCAAGGAAATTGGAACAAGGATACAGCAATAATTAAACTGAAGCAACATACTTGATAATAGATTAAATAATAAATCAAATGAAATTTATACTGTTGGTATTAAGCAGATTGAAGAGTGGAGATATCTCACATTTTCCCGTCCATGGTTAGCTGTCTGGCTTCAAGGAATGCTGTGTTACTCTAGCTAACTCTACTTAGATTGTCCACACTATACAACCCTTGCCTGACACCAATGACCGCCAAATCAATAAGTGAAGACAAATCAGAGGGTACATTTTCATGAAAACAAATAAGGAAATATCATTTAGTTTACGGAAATATTTACATTTGAAACCAATCACTTGCAATGATAATTGTTGATGTCATTAAATAAGAACTGACCATAAAAGTTGAACAATCATAAAGTTACAAATGAATTGAAATGAAAGGAATAATAACCTTAACTATCCAGATTAAAAATATACTGATCTTCAAAAAAGAAACTAGTACTACTGCTTGAAACTAATTGATGATTTATCATTAAATAACAGACCAAAATAAACTTGAAAAATCGAGTTACTAATAAATTTGAAATGAAGGGAATAAGAAACTCTAAATTAAAAATATACTGATCTTCAAAAGAGAGCAGTACAAGCGCTTGAAACTTAAGCTGGGTGTCCTGGGTAGAACTCGATGAGGAGGGACGGGTTGCGACGTGGAGGGGTGGTGAGGTGCAGGCTCATTACACCCCCACCCCCCAGTCAGTTGTATTATCTTGTCCACTAGAACACCCCTATTTCCTGGGACACTGAGCTACACAGGGTTAGCCAGAACAGATCTATTGTAAGGGATTACAGTGATTTGGAACGCGTGTAGTTAGTTTTCGTAATAGCGTGACTTGGTCCGATAATACAGTTCGCCACTGACAGGTCGATGATAACATTTGAAGTCATCCTTATGTGCACTCGTAGCGATTGACACGTTGTTTGAATACAAGAGCTGCGCAGACAATGTGATTGTCATGATATTCGGCACCTGTGTTTTCCTCAACTCGTCAGGTATTGTTCTCGACAGGTAGATACAGGTATCTTAGCAAACACTGGTATCATTGTAACGGGTCTGTGTTAATACAAGTACATCACCTTTAAAGTAGTTTTTGCACTCTAATGAACAGATATAGTTTGGTTGTGATCTGCACACCTTCGTGAAATCAATCGGCTTATGATCATTCTCGACATGCACCTTTAACAATACAGTTAACGTTACCTATTGACAAGGCAGGAGATTGGAATGTTTAAGCTTTATTTAACAGGAATGCACCTATTCTAATTACAAAAAGCAAACACTGTCATGTCTGTTTCAACTTGAACATTTCCAACCAAAAAGTTTAAAGAACATCTCTAATTTAAAAAAAAATTGCTGAGTGTGCATAAAATCACATTTTAAATTATTTCATTAAAATTACACAACATTAACTAAAATTTTAAACAATTAATCACAATACCTTCAGGTGTGACAATACTGTCGTGGAGATCTCATCAACAATACTACTAAAGATTTGGGAATCACCAATTATAGATGGTTCAAGGAGCAATACTTTTCTTCAAATCTTGACACAATTAACTCATCAAACTGCCATAAAGCTCGCTACCACCTCTCTACTGGACACACATATCTCACACAGTACGAATACCTTACAATGATCACCTTTACCTGTGCAACAGGTGAGCAATAGTTTATGGGCAGGTAAAACAAACATTGTGTCATAGGTAAAGGACAATACCTGGTCCTACCTGCTTTGCATTGTTCCTAACGAACACATGAGTGCTCCCATCTCTAGCTGTCAAGCTACTGTGTAACTACTGCTACCTGTATTCTCACCTGCTTATAGTCTTAATTGTTACCAGGAAAACAAAGCTAGCCAAATACCTGTCATAAATCAGGGGTCCTTGAATCACTCACACTGGTCTCACCTGAGGTGGCGATTCCCAAGTCCCTTTTCACCTGTGTGCTGAACAAGTGCCACTTAACACCTTATCATAAACGCAAACTATCACAGTTTTTACACAAAGTATCACAGTTTTTACACAAACTATTCTTCTCTGTTGTTTTCAGGGATTTATCTCACTAAACTGTTACCAAGGATACACAGTAATTTTCCCACAAACAGAATTCTGATTTACCAAAACAAGAATCATAAAAATAGTTTACCAGTAATTGCTTAATGAACATATTTAACAAAAAGGTGGAAATTGGCTATTCAATGTTGCAAAACGCTGACATAAACATCTTTTGGATATTAATATTATATGGGTATATATATATAGTGCTATAGTCCATCCTGCATGCATATCTACATGTATATACATACATACTACTCTACTCTTCACATGTGTACCCATGGCACTAGGATAATTACTCCATAAAACACTTTAACTGCGAAATAGTTAACTTATCAAAGGGGCCGGAAATAGACCGGAAATGTTGTGACTGACTGACTGAGTTTGGTTTTACGCCGCTTTTAGCAATATTCCAGCAACATCACGGCGGGGGACACCAGAAATGGGCTTCACACTTTGTGCCCATGTGGGGATTCGAACCCGGGTCTTCGGCGTGACGAGCCAACGCTTTAACCATTAGGCTACCCCACCGCCCCGAAATGTTGTGAATATACAAGTTGTTATCCACAACTATACTCATTTTCATTATATCAAAATACTTACCATCTTCTCTTATGTCTCGAGTCATGTTTGTGAATAAATATAAATACAACTTTCTCCTAGTGGTTCAGGTGTACAGGAGAGTACCTGTCTTAACGAGGTTCCAGGTGAGATATACAGGTAGTCCATAACTCATGGGTATTTATGACTTGTCACAGCTCACTAGACAGGCTCATTCAAGCATCTAATTGGGGACACTAATTAACTCAATTGATATGTAGATACAGGTGAAAGCCAATTAAGCATAACAAGATGGGAGATACCTTACCTGTTGATACAGGTAATATCACCTGGATTCATCAGTAGTTACTGTCAGGTACATCTAAATGATCTAATTAATTAGCATTATCTGCACTTGCTTAGTAATTAATTAATGTTGTTACTGTCATCGGGGAAGAGTGTTAAATCGCCACTGAAGCTGTCATGAATGAAAGGATGCGTAAAGGGATGTTTTTGTTATCATCAACTAGATCAGTGTTTAGAAATATTAGTGTCAATACGTCATGAACGATGGCTAAATTGGCAAATGTGTCAGTTACTTTATTGGACAGAATATTGTTGACATATATATTTGTATTAAAGACCCCTTGCAGGTAATATGCAGCATTTTCGAAGTTTGCAGTCTAAGGGGAACATGCATACAACAGACTTCAGTATAACACTTAAATTAAATTTAGAAAAAAAAAGACTTCCTGGAAATAAATATGTGTCAACGTGGACATAACATGGATCAATAGATTTATATTAAGGACGATGAAACAAAATGTTATTGGCCTGGTGCAGCATAAGCAGCATTACTTAACAACTCTCAGAAAATATAGACACCCCCAAAGATACAGTTATGTAAACTATATTTATACCAGGCCAATCGAGACAAATTATCTTTATATACAAAATAAATACAACTAGGTCTGCATTTTGAGAGAAACTATATAAAAGTGAATGATCTGAATTATACAACTTTATCAACTATGAGAATTTTCACATCTCTCTAATGAGAGTAATCACACGACAGAACAAATTCAGAATTCTTTATATGTAAATAAATCTATTAGTGAAACCATAAATAAAATAGTAAAAATACAGAAAAAAAAAATAGATACAAAATAACATATGGTTAGCAACTGTATTCCCAAAGCACTTGCCGTTACCTATGAAGCATCTCTTGATTAAGTAATAATTACAGGTAACCAGAGGTAAATTGTATGTAGTTCACAGGCAAAACAACTAATTCCTTTCTGATTGATTCCAGCCTTTACTCACTATAGTTATCCAACTCCTGTCCTTTCGCCATGTGTGCATGTACCTTAATAATGAGTTAATTGCAGGTAAAACACAGGTAAAAAACTTACCATCTTCCATTTTGTGCATGGCCATAGCATCCAATTCCATCTCTGGGTACAGAGCTTCTCTTGCATACAGCAGCATCTCTTCTCCTGGGTGAATGTCCCTCACAGCTCTGTAGTACACCTTTAAATGAAGACACACCTGTCTTAATTACAGGTATACATTCTTTGATCTAATTTCCTCCAACAAGCCTTCCCAGGAGCAGCTTACAAATAAGACAATGGACAGTTAAACTGTGTATTGTATCCTCTTAATAAGAGACAATAGTCAGGTAATTGTTTGTTAGAAAAAACACAGGTAACCAGGTAGCATTTGATGTGCTAATTACAGGTGAGATGACTTCATGATCAAGTGACTGGGGGATGTGATGATAGGTGTATCAACAAGAACTGTCCCACAGACTTGACTACCTGTATGGTCACCTGATTGGTCAAAGCTAATTAGCTTGAGGGACAGAGGAAAGGTGGGCCATATTGCTTCAGGCTGGACTCGACTTGCATGAACATGCCAGCTAAGATGAAAAGTAAATCTTCATAATAGGTACTATAGTCATGCAAGCTTTGTACCTGAGGGGGGATTGAATTGCTCAGAAAGTTCCAGGTTGGGTGTAGCTTGGGGGGATTTTTCTCAAAAGATGATGAAGATGGACTGAGAAGAATCTGACTTTGGTGTTATAATTAGCACCAGTTTGGTGGTCTAACATAGCTTTTAGCAAGTCAGTGATGAGGTGATTTGTGATGACAATGCCCCAAAAGGTGGACAATTACTTACGTTATCACTGAGCGAAGAATGTTGATACAGGTGAACTGCGTTCAAACATCTGACCAGCTTAGTGAACTTAATTAACTAATTGAATTATAATAAAGTGAGATAATGTGGGGGTCAATTCACCTAAATGAGATTGAGGATGTGTTTGTCTGAGTGTGTATATGTATATATATATATACATACATGATTATGAATATTCTGTGATATATGTTAAAAGTATTATATTATGTGGTAATATATGACAAAATCATCACAAAATCAAATCTCTTTAAATATTGAATAAATTAGGTGAGACACTGCAATTACAACAGTTTTAATGTTTTTCAAGTTTTCATGTTTCAGACAACTTATCCTTTCATGTTTTATTAAGTTACATGTTCCATTGAATATTTATGTCCATGAAAATTTCTTGCTTCATAAAGTCTTCATATTTATGCGTTTTCTGAAGTTCTTATTTTTAAAAGTATTTTTTAAAAACTTTTCATAAAGTTTTAATGTGTCTACTGATATATTTTATAATAAATAATTTCCTCAATAATTCTCTTCTAATCTATTACAAAAAAGAACCCCTCCTTAATATTTTTTCTGCTTGACAGTTCACTTCTACTCATTCCTGATGTTTCCCAACTCACAGCCCTCAATCTTATTTTCAATTTGGTAGATTTTCACAGAACCTGCTGCCGTTATGACACTGTGCTGACACGTCGACACTGATATACGTCTCAAAACATCAAAGCGTAGGCCTCCTCACATGTGATTCAATAACTAGATTTCAAACATTCAAGTCTTTGTTTCTTTGATATAAGCTTGACTCTTCAAAAAGTACCAGTTCAATCCGCCACTATCACATTCTAAAGTGAACATGCATGCTCTAAAGATTTCAAAGTTGAAACTTATCAAATTTAAACTCTGTTCAATCCTTGATAAGCACTGACAAGACGTAAAGTCGAATGAAATATCCAACGCGACTTTTCCCAATCATATCACGTGTCTACATGTCATGAATCAAGCAGCCCTTTTTCATACATTTACACGATTGTCAAACAATACTAAACTGCTGTTATCTACAAACTGTTTACCTGACAAATATGTTCTGAATATCAACTCTTGATAAAAAATACAAACGTTTTCTGTCAACTCGTCAATGCATGACAGGAAAAAGTTTAATGATGACCATGTTATCAGGAATGGAGTGACACACATGCTTGTTCAGTACCAATGTTTATCCTGCTCAAACAATTAATACAATTTCCTCATTTTGTAAATCTAACCCCACAACTACGCTGACTGAGATCGGCCTTCTCTGATCTTCAAAGCTTGTGTAAGTATTGGACAAGATCTACTGTCAACCCGTTATCATATCTGTAAGCTTCAATACAAATTATTGCAGTCCTAAATTCTGTTTTTGAATGAAAAAATGCTAAAATAAACACACTACCTAAATCTGTTATCAACAAAGTCAAGTGACTATCTCTGTTTGAAATTTCATCAATCAAATTGTAGACAATGGTTGTACTGTTGGAATTAAAGCAGACATATTTTTATCTATACGCACCTAGTTGTATATCACCCTTATTAAATATCCGCCTCTTTGACAGGTGCAATACACGTTTTATACAATGCCAATATTACACATAAGTATATCAATATAGTTTTTACCACAACTGATTATCAAATCATTACTCAACTGACATGTCGTTCAGTGTCTGAACAAGTTGTTAGGAAAACACTGTCTACAATCTGACAAGTCATCACGTGTCAACTATGTCAAAACGGCTATGTGTAACCTGGTGAAGCAATTAAAATCCTCCTTTCTTTGAAGTGGCCATCTATTCTTCTTCTATTACTAAGTAGCTTAATCTCCTCAATAATACACTCAAGCACATTTCTTCACTTCGCTAATTTGCAGGTTTTCATAGATAATCCACTAGATAATCCAGATTAAAGCAAGGATTGCTGGCAAAGGTCTCTTATCTACAAGGTTTCATCTATCGGATTATATCCTCTGCTTGAGACGGTCAAGTTGGGAGTCGAAGTCCAGATGTCCGAACATCAAATCACGGCCCCTGTTGTAGACGTGATATACAGTTTAGTAAGTGAGGATTTCTTGGCTAATCCACCCTAATCCCTCTGATCTGGTCTACAAATCACTAGGGGTTCACATCTTTAATGAGTTTAACAGTCAGGGTCTAAACATGTGCACATTTTGTTTTACCTTTCATCAAAATACCTTTTGTGTGGTGCTTACTGGCGACGGTGAACATTATGGATAAGAGGTTTACACAGCTCACAGTCTTAAAAAATCTGACTTTAATCTAGGCTTATGTCGTAGCTGCTCTGTGAGTTGAAGAAGTAATTAACATATTTCACCTTGTGGTGTAACAAGACGTTCCATTATCAGATTTTTTTAAATTTTGATCAAATACGATATATATTTCTTTCAAACAAAATGGCAACAGTGTGACAAATGTTATATTGTCACTGATTGCATCAAATATTACTGTTGCTAAGATTTGACAAGTAATTTAAAGAGATCTAAAATACTTAAAGGAAATCTAATGCAACTGGGAATCTTTATTTAGCCCAGAAATGTTTTTGAAAATGAAAGTCCTTCCAAGAAAACGAATAATAAATTTTGAGTGAATGTGTCGGAGATTTACATATGACAAGCACAATCGCTATCTGACTCAAGAGAATTATCGTGATAAGACGGCAAAAGGAAGACCTGGTCACATGACCTTGCATCTTAGGACATCGGATTACTTGCTTCATATTTACGTCCCGAGTGAATCTCATGTTCTTCAAAGGACAGGCTGAACGTGGAGAGCTCTTTCAAAACATTCCAATTTCATGACATTAATAAAAATATGTTTTCAATGGCTGGCATAAACCCGGATTTAGCCTGGCATCCACTTTTAATATCTCACTGAGCTAAAGAGCTCTCGATGACAGTCACTTTGGGATGTTGTTAAGAAATAGACAAGATAATGTGCTGGGTAGAGAGTACAGAGGGACAATTATTTACTGCCTATCATGCCGTGTGATAAGACAAGTTCAAAGACATTAATAATAATTCAATTTAGTCTCATCTTCAGTTTCCGTCTGATAGCAAGATGGTTCTTATGTGTGGTTGTTGAGGAGATGGTTGAACTTCAACCGTTAATGGACCTTGGGGATAATGCATTACGTGGGGATATAGTGATGAGTCGGATATTGTCACAGTGGGTGAGTGGCTGTTTGAGTGAGTGGGTGAGTGAGTGAGTGGGTGGGTGAGTAGGTGAGTGACTGTTTGAGTGAGTGGGTGAGTGGCTGTTTGAGTGAGTTGGTGAGTGAGTGGGTGGGTGAGTAGGTGAGTGACTGTTTGAGTGAGTGGGTGAGTGAGTGAGTGGGTGGGTGAGTAGGTGAGTGGTTGTTTGAGTGAGTGGGTGGGTGAGTGAGTGGGTGAGTGAGTGACTGTTTGAGTGAGTGAGTGAGTTTCTCGTGGGGATATATTGAGTATTAAGTGTTGTCGTAGAAAGTGGGTGGGTGGGTGAGTGGGTAAGTGAGTGAGTGAGTGAGTGAGCGGGTGAGTGAGTGAGAGTGAGTGAGTGTGTTAGTGGGCTTGAAAGCAAAGAAGTAGGAGTGAGTAAGTGAATTTACCATTACTGATTATCCAGCCATCATGTATGTAAGTGAGTGAAGCAAAAGCATGTTTCACTTTACAACTTTCCCTTTTTCACTGTCCTTTTTGTCTATTAACCTAGGGACCCGTGAAGATCCGGGGTAGAATAGGTCTTCAGCAACCCATGTGCTTGCCATAAAAAGGCGACTATCTTGTCGTAAGAGGCGACTAACGGGATCGGGTGGTCAGTTTCGCTGACTTGGTTGACACATGTCATCGGTTCCAAATTACGCAGATCGATGCTCATGCTGTTGATCACTGGATTGTCTGGTCCAGACTCGATTATTTACAGACCGCCGTCATATAGCTGGAATATTGCTGAGTGCGGCGTAAAACTCAACTCACTCACTCACTCACTATTAACCTAGGTGGGTAGGCGCCATTTTGCTTAACATTACAAAACATCCACCATGTGTCTCCAAAATGATTCAGAATATAGGTATTATGAAGCATATCACTCAACAGCTTACATACAGTGCAGACGACTCCCGTATAAAGTATTTAAATTAAACAGATTTGATACAAATGTGGGTAATACGATCATTCAAGGGTGAAGGAATTTATCATTATAAAGAATCACAACAACGCCGGCAGAGAACCTCCGAAATAGAACCACTGTCTGTCGCCACTTTTTCCCACACTTCCACGGCCAATATGGGTGGTAAATTAAATTACCGCAACAACTGACATAATTTCATCCTATTATTTCCCTCTGCCACCAAGTCATCCCTTCCCAGAATGCCGTGTCAGGAGTGCCACGATATTGACCATCACAAGACTATGAGGACCTGGTCACAGCTGAGAGTTGCCTGACGTGTCGGGTGGGTGGAGGATTAGACTGAAGGGGACAATACCACCAGGGGGCGCTACCGAGGAGGGGGGACATGGTATCAACACAGAAACGCTTCATTTATTCACACACATTGTGGGAAAGTTGTCAGATCGTAATAAAAGAGTTAATATGACAACACTGATAGTCAAAGTCAAGCTGTGACGAGATGTGAGAGACCGACCTCAATCGGGGTGGCCTGTCATGGTTGTGGTGGTTGAGGTGAGCAGGCAAATCATTGATGATGAACACACACAGAGTTACAACAGAAATTATACTTGTTTCAAGTGTCCAGTAAATTTTCATGTATATTCAGAGAGTATTTATTGAGTCCAGAAGTGGCTCTGAGAACCAACCTGCATACACTGATTCTTTAATAAATTTAGTATTTGTTAGCAATTATTACATGAGATGTTTCAGTTTAGGCTACCCTTCTCCAAGTATTACATTTATTACATTTAGCTCAATCTGACTGTACACTGTTGTAAGTATTAGAGGTGAGACGATACGGAAATGTTACGATACGATACGTATCACGATATCTTGGAATGATGCGATTCAATTCAATTCATATCACGATATGCTATCTTTAGTTATTTTCTTTAAAATAGTATATTTTGATTGCAAGCAACAGTGTAAATTTGTACATAACCGTCAATTTCTAGTGAACAATAATAATTTTAAGTCAACGATACATATCACGATATGAACACAAGTATCGATATATTTATCATCAGATAAAGTATCACGATTATCTATGCTATGATATATCGTCACAGCTCCAGTAAGTATAAACATAACTGCAACCACTTTTTCAAAAATGCTACGTACTAAACCACTAACAGAAACCTTTTAATTTACTAAATTAATCTGATGTTAAAGGTAAACACATTTATTTAATAATTACACATTTCAGTATAATACCATGTGATCTATGGCCAGTAAAGATCATTAATTACATTTTGATAAAAATTAATGCTTCAGCTTAAACACTACCCATAAATTATCATCAATAATATGTCATGTGGACAATATTATAAAGAAAACCAACAGTACATATTCAATGGAGACTACATCATTCAGTACAGCAGAATTTTCAGCTGTCTTCCTCTTCGCTCAATGTGGATATGACTTATTGAAAATCTTTATGCCAAGATGTTGGTGCATCAATGTAATTTGTTTATGAGATGCTATCGTCACTCTAACAAGCTATCACAACACGTGTGACACCAGTTTGTAAGTACTATTGAAACTGCTTAATTTATTGCTCACATGTTTCTTCTCCTATAAGGACAACAATAAGACATACACATGAATGGATATAGATTCGGCAACTCAATAGAACATTATAATGACAAACTGCGACAGCCAGAGTCGTGTTATCAACCTCATTCAAGATGTGGTATCAATTTTAATGCAGTGTAGCAGGGATGCACACCGCCTGGTCAACGAATTTCTGCATAAACATCGCGAATATAAAAGTACTGAGGCTTAGTTGGCAACAGATGGAAAGATGCTGGCCTCTTTCATGCTGTTGTCAGAAGGAGATAATTGTCCCCTGACAACTACTATTGAGTGGTGACATCTTGATAAGGGATTATTTATAGTAGAAGTGTAGTGATAATAATTCATAGTCGGATAATATATATACAAACAGCTGAGAAATTACCACATTTTAATATCTGCCAACGCAGAAATGAGTTGTAACTGTGTATAGGAACCGATGTTCTTCTGTAGTAAAATATAGATTTTCTTTAAATGGTTCATAACCTTCAGATAAAAACAGACTCCGAAAAAGATCACTAGACACATATATAATAAGGTTTCTAAACATCTTGATAAACTGAAATATGTATTTGTCAGTGTCACAGTCTAGGTTTCGCTCTTTATTAAGTTTCTTTTTGTAGTGTAGCTTTAATCATACTTTTTGTAGCTTTAATCGAACTTGTATTAAAATGTTGCAGCGTTTAGCTTTAATCACACTTTTCATAAGCATTAATTGAACTTGTATTAAAATGTTGCAGTGTTAAGCTTTAATCATACATTTTGTAAGCTTTAATCAAACTTGTATTAAAATGTTGCAGTGTTTAGCTTTAATCATACTTTTTGCATTAAAATAAGCTTTTGTTGTGTTTAGCTTTTAATTGTTTATTTCATGGTATGTACCATATTTGTTAGAATTTAGGAAATATTTTATTTAGTTTTGTGGCGCCTTGTAATTACTGATTACTGTATCGAGTGTCACAAGGGAGGTTTCATTCTTCTTGACATGGTAAATCTCTCTCGTCTTCTATCCCTCCTTCTCTTCATTCATTCATTCATTCATTCATTCATTCATTCAATCATTCATTCATTTGAAATACATGATTGTTTGATAAATTGTCCTTAGACATGCTGGATAAATTTATGGTGAGATGTAATAAAGTTAATAAAATCATCTACATAACATGATACTTAATGAATTCATTTTGTGTTAAATGTACTATAAAAAAATATTTAGATGTAAGCAAACTAAACATTAATGTTTTGAATAACTATTCAAATGTTTGTCATAAATGGTTGATCATACTGGACGCAAGTCCACAGTGAATTGCACCACCTTAAATGGCTGGGCCTCGTGATCCCCTTCTCTCCCACCCACCACCACCATGTATAATGAAAACTGGACCAAAGGAGGAATTCTGTTTTGGTAAACAGTAGAACATGGAAAATTGTGAGTTTTATGTGGAAGTGAAGAAAGGGCCACTGTTATTGATGTTCACAACCATCTGTTGCACCTCAGGAGGTGTGCCAATCAATTTCAATTTCAGCACCTCAGACAAGACGAGATGTGATGATCTACATAATTGATCTCATCATCATGATGGCCAGTGCTAGAGGGGTGACACGTGTATGTGGAGAGAATAGAGAGAGGGCTACAGGGGTGACACGTGGGTGTGGAGAGAATATATATCTGTATATCACTATATATATTATCTATAAAAACAGAGAGTAACTGGGTCCAATTCAATATATACCTATATATACCTTAAAGAGAGAGAGAGAGAGAGAGAGAGAGAGAGAGAGAGAGAGAGAGAGAGAGAGAGAGAGAGAGAGAGAGAGAGAGAGAGAGAGAGAGAGAGAGAGAGAGAGAGAGAGAGAGAGAGAGAGAGAGAGAGAGAGAGAGAGAGAGAGAGAGAGATTCTGGCTCATCTGTATTGCATGTGGTGATGCTATCAAAGGCTTGTGAGAAAACAATCAACTGTTTTATTTCCCCTAATTGACCAATATGAAAAAAATAATCATAAACTAATATCTCAAAAGATTCTAACATCCATCAAAGATATGTATCAATTCAACTAACCACTCATAAAAGTATGTATCAATTCTACCAGCCAGTCATAAAAATATGTATCAATTTCATTAAAGGCTCATAACTACATGTATCCATTCAACTACTCACTATACCAATATGTATCAATTCTACCAACCACTCATTAAAATGTATATCCATTTCATTAAGACCCACAAATACAATGTATCTGTTCTTCGAACTGCTCTTTCAATTGTGTATCCATTTTATGAGGAAATAATTTAATATACATAATCGTTGTGATACACAAATGCACTTAGAGTCCTACTCATTTCAACAGACATCTGTCAACAATAAAAGTAGACTTGGAATAAACAGCTTGTCATACTTTGACCAATGGAAGACAAGTCACTTATCCTGCGGCTCCTAGCCATTGTATATCAATCATAATCAATCTCCAACTGCCTTGACTCAACCATTGTAAGAGATTCTGGCACATATGCACAGAACTATTCACTTTATTGTGTCGGAATCAACAGCAGTACCGTTTACACATTTCTTCAAAGGAAAAATAAAAAAAAATGAAATAATAGTCCTGAATTAATTTTACTAAAAAGTATTATTCACATTTCAGTTTTGAAGAAAAGTTTTGTTTCATATTTTACATGCAAATTCAAGATTCATTTTTTTCTGGTTGTTTTTGATTTAATAAAATAAGACAAAAATTCAAAAAGTCATATTCCCCCATTCCTACCATACATGTGATAATCGTGTATTAATATTTAATACATGTATTTTAATAATCCTATATAATCTGTAATAACCATGTCACGTTTGATTGTCACATATTCAAACATCGTCACATATATGGTTTAATCACCATATTAACATCAAACACTCAAAAACAACACATTTCAAAAAATTAAAAATTCTATTTACCTGATCGTCGACTTGAACTGCCATCAAATTTCTTTGATTCCTGTCTTCGGAACCACGGATGTACTTCATCCAATTACCGGACCCGGGATTGCTCGCGTCCACCCAGCCCTTTACCTTACCACAGTCATCCACCAGCTGAAACAAAAAACAAGCAAATAGAACAAACTATGTCAATATTTTGTAGCAAATTTACCAAAATTAACAACCTGTAATTTTCCCAGGCTTTCAAACTACATCCACTATGTGCTGCTGCCTGTTGCTGGCTGATGACTTGTGTTTTGATACTGTGCAAAAAAACGTAGCGACAACAACCGGCATGTGCACATTGGCGTAGAGTGCGATATAGGTGTTAATGTCTTAAAAGATATGGTATAATCTTTTATACACTATTGCACTCTCTCGCTCAGTTTGTATCATTCAAAAATAATATAAAATGCATTTTGTCAAACATTTTCTTTAATATTTAACTTTATATTACGCAATGAACGATGCTTTAAAAGATCAAAGATGATGACTACTTTATCCTGCGTTAGGGGACACTTTTTGAGCTGATGTCATGATGCTGTTCAAATTACCTCCCTCGAAATATATTATTACTTGAAAAAAAATCTGAAAAAATATAACTCCAACCCATCGGCCGTAAATTAATCATAGGCGTAAATTTAATGAAAGGATAATCATTAAAATCTATCAGGATTGTTGAAGATGAGTACAAGCTTGTAAACATTTTCCTCAAATGATTGTATAATCAGCCAATCTCTTTATACTGAAAGCAATAAATCTATCAATTATAATAAATACAAGCAACATAGCAATTTCAATAATCACAATAAATCACAATAAATCTCTGTTAAAAGCTGAGTCCATTGTAAGATTCCTACAATATCCTGACCATGTGTTGATGAATCATCTTCAAATATCAAATGTATTTTTAAATTTTAATAAGTTAAAAACTAACAAATATTTGTACAGATATCTACAACAGAACAATCACAAAAATGTTTTAGAAACAAAAAACATGGAACAACTCTGACAGTTTTTCCTAGACGGCATAAACAGTGAAAGAATCTCCGAATATTTCTCTAAAAAGACTTTCATGAGAATACAAACACATACAACATAGTTCCTGAAAGGATTTCAACGAAAATGTAAAACCCAATACGTACATATACAAGAAAAGAATACAGATGAGGACGGAGAGTATCTGTACCTTATCTCGTGAATGGTTGCAGCACTGGCTGTCCGTGACAAAATAACCCCCAGTTAAACACTTGTAGATTTCATTAAATATTGCAAATTAGATGAATCACAGCAATGTTATGACAACAAGCTACAATTGGCATGGAGAAATCGAGAGCTGTGATTGGCTAAATCTGGGACAGACTGGGACGAGTCAGGCGTTTAAGCATCGAGTGTCTGCTCCTCCAGAATCGGCAGATCTGGCTCAGCTGACTTGAACAATAGCTGAGGGCAATTCATCATTTCACGGGACATGTCAAGCCTCTCGTCGTGTTTCTTTGATTAATTCTCAACTATCAACAAATTAGCAGGATTCGGGGATCAATTACCGTTCTATCTTGGTAATATTTTCCATAATTCGCCCACCTGCCTCCAAGTTCATAATTAATTCCCTCTCATACGTGGGACTAGTCATGAATTTCCATGAAAACCAATTTTTATTTGAAAAGATATGAAGCAATTGGGAATGGAATAAACTCATTCATGAAAACAACAGATCAGATTTTTATAAGGGTATTTAATTGTAAAGTTAGTTTCATGGACATGTTTTTCCAAACTGACATTGACTAGTACGTGATAGTCTTGATAAATGCATTGCAAATCAAGTTTTATCTCTAAGCAACCTAAATTAACACAGTATTCACTAAAAAAGTTCACAATATTTAATATAAACAGTAAAACACATTCACTCAATTTGGACATGAATTTAATTTATCTTGACTGATGAAGCTGTTCGGAATTAGTACATAAACATGGTTGATTACTGTCATATCGTAAAATATCATTTAGTGACAAATATCTGAAACTGTTAATTGAATTATTTTAATAAGAAGAGTGATGAAATAAGAAGCAAAAATAAAAGTCAACTTTAATATCAAAAGCTCTAATGTAGCAGCCTCACAGCGTCTTCAGACATATATACAACTCAACACAGGGGACATTTATTTGATAAAAGATGACTACTTTGTTCCTGAACAAATGTGTAATTAAAGAAAATATCATTTATTCTACACACAACATTTGGTGAGCTGTATTAATAACGTTTCACAAATATGATATACATGACAGGGTCTTAAGTGCAACTAAAAGTCAGTTTAGTGACTGAAACACAAGTACATATATTAGTAGTATGTGGTAAGTAGTATCTATTTCTAGCAAAATCTCTCAAACAGATATGAGAGCATAGCATCCTTGCCTCAGCTCAAAGGGATTTAAGTTCTCTTTAATTCACGAACTCCTTTTAAGAATTATGTTTTAATTAACTTGTACGTAACTATAATTCGGCTGTGTAGTAGTCAATTTCCAGCATGAAAGGCATGGAGGGTATGACTAAAAGTCCATGTCAAAAGACATGAAGCTAGGTCAAGATGAACTAAATAAGTTTTTTAAAAGCAGTGTACCATAAAAGCAACGATTAATACAACACTGACCATAATTGTTACCAACATACATCCACAGGATAATTCCAACATGGTATCTTTCAAATTAATTTAATCAATTGTCAATTTGATGGACGATTCTAACTGGCCATCCACTCTCTGAGGAGTTGGAGTATTAAAGCGTTTTTCTCACAGATGAATTTATGCAGGCACTTTATTTGATACTTGAAAAGAAATAGATACATCGGAAGGCAGGAGTTTAACCCCGTTTCCCAAAGACCGATGGCAACAGGGGAAAGCAAGTCCCATCTCTCATTGCCGATTGCATTAATTAGGCACCCTGAATGAGATGGGTTAGAATATATCTCTCGAAGAACTCTCCTGAGACCGAGACACTCTGCGTATCTCTTTGATCAGTTAAAATTAATAACTCATTACGAAAGTGTTAACGAGCTCGTCCGTTGCGACTACCATGGGTGATGAAGCGTCGTCCTGGCAAAGGTCACATGGACGATCACATGGACCTAGTAAGGAGGAGCGTGAAGCATTTGTCATTCAAAGTACGAGTGTGATATTTATTTCGGACACAAAACAGTAATTAAAGCTGGCAATGGTGGCAGTTATTATCAATATTGTCGCACGCTATCCTCCTGCTATTTGGAAACCATTTGGCTTACGATCATACTCCAATTTTCCTCAAGCGTGGAGACAGTGTCATATTAATAAGTGATGAATGATCTATGATTAACATTGTAATTTGTCCAAATAGTGATAGATTAGGTGTCACTGTTTGACAGCCGTATACAGGTTTCAGAAATACCTTCATTAGAATCAGCAGGTCATTGTTACAATAGTCATTTCCTAACTTAAAGTATTTCCTATTTAATTTCCAACCTAATGCTTACTTGGTAGAAATGTCATGAAATGGGGTTTAGCATTGTGTTTAAGATTATTACACTATTAAAGAGTGAGTGAGTGAGTGAGTGAGTGAGTGAGTGAGTGAGTGAGTGAGTGAGTGAGTGAGTGAGTGAGTGAGTGAGTGAGTGAGTGAGTGAGTGAGTGAGTGAGTGAGTGAGTGAGTGAGTGAGTGAGTGAGTGAGTGAGTGAGTGAGTGAGTATGGTTGTATGCCTCATTTAGCAATATTCCAGCAATATCCCGTTGGGGGACACCAGAAATGGCCGTTACATGTTGTACCTATGTGGGAATTGAACCCGGGTCTTCAGCGTGACAAGTGGACACTTTAACTATTTGGCTACCCCAATGTCAAGCCTGTCTTAAAGAGATTGCCCACTCAGATACCATGTTGCAGTTTAACACAAATACCTCACTCATACACTCCGAGCCAACCAATCCTAGTTTTATCCTGTTCACGCACAGCACCAGGTAACAACAACTACCATCTTTTAACATATTTGGGTATAACACAGCAGGGACTGAACCACTTACGGTCCGTTCTCCATGCTCTCTATCCAATAGACCATGGGTAATGTTTAGCATTTACAGAATTCAAAATTAAGAAAAAAGACAAACCTTCACATTAAAACATGAAGCTGAGGTTCCTACTTAAATAACCATTGTGGAAAACCTTATGGACCTCAACATCTGTTTTGGTTGTCTGACTGAAAATTTTAAAACTTTGCTTTCTTTTATCGAATTAAATATAACTCAAAATTCCACATCATAAATTCTGACAATGTCTGTGATATGCCTCAGCAATGATAACCAGATAAAATAAATTCCTGAAAATATTCTGGCGTCACAGAATAAATGGTATAAAGGTATGAGTATTCTAATTTTAAAATGATGAATGGAAAAATCCTGTAAAAACAAAACTGTAACTGTATCATGAGCTTATATCTGTCTTAATACTGTCAAAATGTCAAGAATTCTGAGCTGAACATTCTTTAAAATGCACTTGAACATAATATTGGAACAGAGCTAAGATATCCACACCTCTGAATCACTCCCAAGGGAATATTCAGTAATACATAATACTTCTATTTCATTCTACAAAGTTTACAACACCTATGTATAAAAAGAATGTTTCACCTGTGTCTCCTCGTCAACAGGTAGATATTTCATGGGGGTACAAGTTGATCAAAGAGAAAACACCTGTTGAACGAGCATAGACAGGGTGTTGTGAGGTTTGCTTCTCATCCCCTAATCCTCCAAACAATTTCAGTCTCCGTGCAGCAAAGGGTCGTCTTTTCATTGAGGTGCGAAATCCTCTGTCAGATGACAAACACTTCGTGCTTGTTGTTCGTATAAGAAGCCAGATAAATGAAAGTTGGGATGAACTCAGCTAAGGGATTCTTAATTTCCGTGATTAGGGCGTGTGATGGTATTGTGCTGGGTAGGAGAATAATAGACAACCATTCAACCGAGGAGCAGTTAGAAGGTTAGTCACATTGCAACTTCACAACTTTTGTTTGTCGGTGTAGTGACAAGGCCGGCGTAGCACCCTTAAAGTTACTATTGATGGTAGGAGGGTGAGAGGTAAACAAAATCAGGTGATA